CGGTATATTTCGTTGACTTTTCGACAAAATAACGAATCCTGAATAGTCTTTTAAAGTTTCCCCTGTGTCTGTGTAACCTAATTTGGATACCTGAATTCGGATGTCGAGCAAAAAAATAGCAGAAATTACGGTAACTTCTGGTCATAATCTGGGTCTGTTTTGACTTCCATCGGTACAATCGCACACCCGATGGGAATCGGCGGTGAACAAAACTACATGCAAAAACAACTATTGTCCTCAAACATAGAAAGTCACAACTCGCACCCCGTGGCAAATCTAACTACACAGAGGAACGCTAGTATTTGCTACACAACCTACACCCGTGGATCCGCATCTCATTATCCCTCGATGCCTCACTAATAGGCCACCGTCATTAGTCCCAAACGCGTAAGAAGCGGGTCCCCAGTAAACTCCGGAAGGGGCGCGTGTCGGCGAGGCGGAGCCTGAATGTCGTGAACAGCGCAAAACCAAAACCGGCTTTACCAAATAGGGAGCACGTCAATCCGACGTCTGATAAGGGGCGAGAATGTAGACCATATGTGTGAAGTTATCCAAGAATTGTATATTCAGGGGACTCTCTGTCACAGGCACTTGTTTGTTTTCTTCTTTTCCGGATGTGCGCCAATGTGCGAGGAAAGTAGACATACCGTGACACGTCTGAGCTGGACAACTCGCCGCGCTGGTTTCCGTTCCTCTCGTGCCGTTTGTCATTATTGGCCCCACCCGTAAGATAATTTAGTATCCCACGTCTTTCAGTCGTGTCGGGTTGTAGACGACGACAAGTGCGCGTAGGTCGGACGTCGGGTCCTAGAGTGTCGGTGTGAGATCGGTGAGAGTGAGATTGAGTTCGTTTGTCGTGAATTTGATGTGTCGTGTGGTTGTCGTGTTGTTCTGTGTACACTCCCCCCTCGGTTAATCTGTGTCTCAGTCCGCCGTTGGGTCAGTACCGTAAACACGAAGTGGTTGTGCAAAAATTAGATAACTACAGCACAAGTGGTTGCGTGCTAAAAGGGGGGGAAAAAACAAAGCACAACGGGTCGTGTGCTAAAAATTTCGTCACATAAGAGAGTGACCATTACAACAAGGCACGAGGCAACCCGAGCACCTTCTGGGCCCTCTCGGGGGACACACCGAAAGATTTTGTGTACAAGGAATGGAGTTATAGGTTCCGGGTGTTACAGTAACCGAAAATTAAAATTTAGCGTATTAAAGCCTCGGAAAAAACAAAGCCAGACACTCCTTTTATTTTACACCCGAGTCTCGGAGTCTTGTGACCTTTAGACACCTACAAAAATGTTAGAAAAAAAGAAGATTAAACAATGAAGAACGAAGTTTTGTTGGTGGTGACAAGTCAAATGACTGGTTATTGTGCTGTTACATAGAAGCGAAAATTAAATCAACCAACTAAGGGTATCTAGAGTCCGAAAACCGAACCGGCAGGAAGGTCCTTGACTTAAAAGTTTTATTTTGTATGTGGCGCCTTTGTTCGTGCATCACGGTATAAGCTCGCTAATGGGTTTCTGGGAGCTCGATACGAATGTCGAGCAGACAAACTACAAATCCGAGGCGTACGTACGATCTCTAAACCACAAATAGTACCTATACTTCTAGGCCTTTTGTCAACAATTTTCTTATTGGCTATTAGGAACTTAAAGGCTCACAAAGAACCGAACAACGAGAAACTTTTGCAGTAGTGTATTGCCGTAATGATATGTGCCAAGCCGACGTAATGTATGAATGATCTAGACGGCATCAGAGAGCAATAAATATCTCGGGACTACTCTTTCTGCGCAAACCTTTCTTGACCTTCTTTAGCGCGCTTTGAGCTTATGAATGCACCTAGTATTTATATAGTTGGGTTAATTTGTTGTAGGAAGACTTAGGAAGAGAAGTGGTTCGATCAGAGGAAACGTCATAGTTGGGAATTAAAGCGACCTGAAAAGTATAAAGCAGGGATATTTCTCCCCTCTGCTGCAAGCTAGAATGAGCAGAGACGCCAAACATTTTTTTAACATGAGTGTGTGTGGGACGATTTCCCTTGGATTCTATTGGCTCTAACGGTCAGAAAGAGATGTCACATGTCAAAATCGAACAAGGGGGACCAGAGATATGGAAAATCCACCCAAATGGCCCCAGAAGAGGTTTTTTTTGCTAAATCGGTCTAAAAAGGTCAAATGTCACTTGTTTTGCATCAATCTTGATACAGGGTACTTATTATATGTTGTACTTTGGATTCCTAAAGCTTTTAGTCTACTAACCCATCATAGTTTTCACTATAAGTACAAAATATTCTTTGGACGGACACTATAATTTACAGTTTTTTACCATGTTTAATCTGAATTTTCTTTAAAATAAAAAACATCTATATTGATTCTGACTTTTCTACATCCAACTCACAGGTTTATCATTACTTTGAGAAAAAAGATTATTAATTTAACCCTTTTAGAAGGGAAGATATGGTCATTTGTTCTGGGAATGTCATTTCCGAGCCTGAAACCTGAAAAACAGGCTTGGGGCCTAACAGGAAACACTTTTCGAGTGGTGTCTTAATTTTTTGCAGAGCTGTAGCATCTCTTCTCTTTTTGAGATTACTTTATTTTTATGCATTTTCCTTGTTCAATAAAGGACAACATTTTTGGAAGTTATAACACAGACTGCTGAATGAGTCATCATGTTAATGGAATAATTCTGTCATTAAATATTCAGTGAGTTTATTCCATGAAAATTAAGAAACAGTCAACATGGCAAGCTTCTAAATGCTGTTTGAATAAACCGGAACATTAAAGTATAGTTTGTATCTGCAGTAATTAGTCCACGAGGCCCTGGTGACAGACAGCGCTCACCTTCTTCATCACCAGGGTGTCCATCACATAGAAAACGTTCCATGGCACCCACACTGTTCTGTACTGCGTGAGGAATGGAGCGCGCTCAAAACTCAACGTTAGGGAAGCTCCGCCGTTTGCCAGGAGATCAAACCTGAGGCACATCCACAACAAACAGAGAAACAAATACATATTTACCGTAATTAATAGAAACAACAGCTGAAGAATAGGAATCATTCCCTTTGAGCGTGTAATTCCTCCTCACAGTCAACAGGCACTACTAACGTTTCCATTCTTGATTTATTATTATGTTATTATTTTAACAATAAAGACTCAATTTAGAAATGCCACCACTGGGCATTTCAGCGGTGCTTGCATGTTTTAGTTTTACTAAATTGGCAGTGTCGCAGGGATATGAGATATAATGTCTTATTTTCTCTGCTTTCTCAGCAAATTCATGCTTACTTTTTTCACATTGTACACTGGGAAGAGTAATGTGTACTGATTATTATAGTCAGATTATTATAGTGTTTGACAGTGAGAAAGGGCAATCATTTTAAAACAAACAGCTTTAAATGTTCATTTAGTTTTTACGCTTAAAGGAATCACAATCTCTTATTCAGGTCGGGACTTTACTTCACCTGTGGAACACTGAAACCAGACACAAACTGACCTGCAAATCCATGGGTCAAAAAATATATTGGCATACAGCTGGCTTTTACACTGTTCGAAGGTACATTTGTCTACACATATCTATTTTAAAAACAAAGGAAGTGTCAAGTGAAACATTTGTGGAGAAGGGTGCAGATATAAAACAGAAGGCTTTATACATATACTTTATAATAATAAATAAATACATACATGCCATCCTTGCGTGTCACAGTGTATCCATGTTCAGGATAGTGGACAAACGTGACGTTGACTCCAATCAGAGGTGTTCCATCAGCTGTCAACACCTGACCGCGAATTATCGACACCAGGCTGCAGACACAGGGGGAGAGAGGGTCACTTTATTAGAGCTGCACTCTGCATCCAAACAATTATGTATTATATCTGACCGCAATTCATGTAGGAAATTAAGCCATCGTGGATAGAAATTACCCTGCCGGAAATCTTTCTTGGGGAAGAAATTCAGTTTGACTGTGACAGTGACTCTATAACATCACAGTGACTCTATAACATCACTGTGACTCTGTAGCATCACAGTGACTCTATAGCATCACAGTGACTCTATAACATCACTGTGACTCTATAGCATCACAGTGACTCTATAACATCACAGTGACTCTGTAACATCACTGTGACTCTATAGCATCACTGTGACTCTATAGCAGTGGTACTCAACCTTGTCCTAATCAGGAGCCACATTGACGAAAAAATATTTTTGCAAGAGCCACAATCCAAAAACGCTCCTTTCCTCCCTGAAACCTTTATGCATTTGAGAATATGGATAATAGTAATATGTTACTTAAGAATGAAAAGCATAATGTACAGTGCAATAACTGTGATTTCTTATTTTCACTGCAACCACAAAACACACAAAACAACAGATAACAGACAGCATGTTTACTGATAATCACAGTCCATATAACAGCAGATTATACACAGCAGGGGTTGTCAGAAGAGTAATGTTGACCTTACTTCACACTCAATGTGATTTCTGACACTCCTTCTGCCGCACAAGTGATTTGAAGTCGGGCTCTGCGCTGGAAACGGCGATCCGGAGGGCCTCTGTTGTGTGCTGCAGACTCAATCTGTTTCGGTTGCGACATTTTATTTTTGTGAGCGCAGAGAATGCTGCTTCACACCGGTATGTGGACGGAAACATTGAGATGATGCGTCTTGCCAGTCTGGAGATATTTGGTAGATGCCCCACCAGTTTCCAAAAGTCCACGACATCTGTAATCCGAAATTGACGCTTAAGTTCATCTGAGCTCTTTAACTCCACGAACTCCATTTGAAGCTGCACAAGTCCGAGCTGGTCGCTTATTTGCTTCATTTCATTGACTTCAATCAGGAATGGGTTTTTCACAAGTAGAAAATATTGCTATGGTCCTTGAAGTCGTGGAATCTGGATGTGTAGTTTTGCTTGAGCTCAGTTAGCACCTCACAGAATTGAGATTGACAGGTCAGGAGGCGTCTGCATGCTCGCATCACTTTTGCACCGGGTGGGGAGACGGTAATCAGGAACCAGCGGACATTTGGATTCGTAGTAATCCAGGTTTGTCAGAAATCTTTGAGCCGTGTTAGAGTCATAACCGGTCTTGTTTTTCCTGGGCATCTTGAGATTAAAGTTCGTTAAACAAGTGAAGCTTGGTAATTGTCACACGGAACGCACCAGCAGCACCACTCTTTAGTCATCAAAAAAAAAATAGGAAAATCGGGAAGGTTCCCTCATTGGCCGACAATGAAGGCTTTCAGGGTTCAATCATGTCCTTAAATGTGCAAGCATACGTTGCTTGACAGCATTCTGATCTGCGTTGTTGTAAACATATAATTTCATAGTTGTAGTTGTCAATCCTCACCCAGCAGGTTTTAATAATTTATAGTGGTTTTGCACGGGGCCTATATATATATAACCACTTCGATTAATTTGCCATCCTTCATCAGATCTCATTGAAATTAGAAATTCAAGGCTTTGGTTGATGACGCATACCATGATGGTATGAGTAATTCCTCATGGCAGCACCCGCCGTTTTTAAGGCAGTTTCTTTCGGCAATGGCCACGGTCCTTCTTTTACTCAAAGGCGTCGCCTGCGGTGCGCATCTGTCTCGTGGAATGCTGTGGATTTTTTCTTGGGCCAATGTTAAACTTTTTATGTTCAGCACCTACGTTTTTTATTTCAATGCCCGTTTGTTCTTTTTCAGTGAACCTGTCAAGCAGTTCTCTGTAATGTTCAGGCTTACTGTTGGTCCGCGCCGATAAAAGATTTAGTAATTGTGGTCAGTGTAGTTGACATCCAAGTTCGTCCCATTGCGTCTAAGTCGTGACAAACTATGGCGATGGTTACAGTTTGTCCTTAAGAGTTGTGGCAATGTTTGAATGTCTGATGCCTCTAGCTCAGTAAATCCGACATGTTGCCTTTTTTTTGGCCTTCTCGTCCTCAGTGTCTTTTTCTCAGGAAACACGTTGACAAGCCGCAGTATGCGTCCTTCATCCATTTCTCCAGTCATAGTATATGGCTCCATTTTTTCACTCAGGTTATGTGTGTTTTGTGGATGACCTCTGTCGCTCTTTCACTCGGCATTAGTGTGGAAAAAAGTTTTTGAGCAGTTGGGTTCTGTTTGAGTCCAGCAGCTTTCCGCCACTAGTCTCCCTTTCGGAGTCGGTACTAAACTTCGGGGTGTTTTGTTCGTGATGGCGGCTGGCCAAAATTGGACTTTAATTGTGAAATGGATTGTTGTCACAAGCCAGCAGTGATTTTCCCGGACATGGTGGAGACGAATGAAAAAAATCCATTACCTTAGTCTCTTTAAATGTTTTCGATATTCTTTAGTTATTTTCGTTTCAGTCGTAGCATTTTTGCATGTGTCTGTTTATATGTTTTACCCAAGTGTGTGTAAGCAATATCTCGGCTGGCGAAAATCATGATAGCGCGATCCTGACTAATATTATTGATTGCTATTCAGAGGGTGGAGGGGCGAAGCGACTGATTTGTGATTGTGAGAGTGAGTAATGAAATGTTATGATTCTCTGACTTTGTTTTCGTTTTTCAAAAGGATTTTTTTTTTATATTTTTTATTTTTTAAGTGGGACTTAAAGGCGCGTTAGTCTTAAAGAGCCTGCTATGCGCTCGCAGTTCTTAGCGGTGATGTATCGCTGATCTAAAGATACGACGAGAATCCGCACTTTTGGAACAGGGCTGAAACAGGAGTGTATATCTCGATGTTGCATATGTCTTTGTGTTTGCACTAAAGGAGAGGTTGGATATATGAGCCGGTTATGATGAAAACTAGTATAAATTGATTTATCAGTACATGTACGCTTTTGCAGGGCTATTAATGACCGTTGCTAAGGGAGGATCAAGATAGGAAAGGAAAATGAGGTTAGACGGGAGGCGCTGGACGTCCAGATAATGATGCAAGAAGAATGGGCTACAGGAATGTGCGCTAATGCTAAGTTGTTCCAGTCAATATGGCTCTGCGGTGTTTAAGGACGAGTCATAGATGAAACCTTTTTTCATTATGGTCATGTGCATGCCCAAAGTTTGAATGAGCGTGAACGCGTATCGATTTTTTTTTCTGTCCTTTCTCGTGTATACATGGAGATAACTTGATCTCTTATTTCTGTTCCTATGTCTTATGGCGTATTCTGTTTTTCCTCGTGTATTGCTGGTTCCTTGCTGCGTGGTTACGATTTTTGAAGATCACATTCAGCTTCCTCTTTCAACAACCTTCCTATTTACTTTACTCTGTTCCTTTCCGGGTCTCATTTCTCTTTAAATGTACTGCATGAACGCTCAGTGCAGAACAGCTTTTTAAATTCCGAGGGGTATACGAGACATCATTGGTATTTATGGATCAAATTTTAACGTAAAGATGTTTTTTCTTTAAGTCCGCTTTGGTCTTTCCAAAACATCGATGTCAGGTGGACTCCATGAAGAACTGGTCTTGTGGTCACGACGGGCTAATGCGGTGAGTTTATCTTGTCTACTTTAAAGAGTTCTCCTGCTGATGTTAGGTGTATTAATCAGTTGTAGGTGTTTACTTAAGGTCCTCTTTCTGCTGATGTTCATGGTGGTATATCAGTTATGTTGTGTTCTACTTTAAAGGTTAGTCCTCTTCTTGTGATGTTAGTGGTTTACTAGTATTGTAGTGTCTTATTTATAAGACTCCTCATCTCTGCTGATTTACTGGTGTATTTATCAGTTATGTATGTGTCTTAGCTTTAAGAGTTTCCTTCTCTGCTGATTTGTTCAAGTGTATATAAGTTATTGTAGTGCTTACTTTAAGAGTCCCCTTCCTGCTTGATGTTCATGGTATATACGTTGTGGACCTGTCTTTACTTTATAGAGTCCCCTTCTGCTGATTGTTCATGGTTGTTATATCAGTTGTTGTGTCCTACTTTAAAAGATCCGTCTCTGCGTACTGTCCAGGTTTGGTTTATCATGTATTGAGATGTCGTCTATTTAAGAAGTCCTTCTCCTGCTGATTGTTCATGGTGTATATCGTATGTAGTTGTCTTATTTTAAATGTCCCCTCCTGTTGATGTTCATGGTTGATTAGTAAGTATGTAGTTGTCGTCTACTTTAAAACTCTCTGCCTGTGATGTTCATGGTGTATATCAGTATGTAGTTGTCTTATTTTAAAGAGTCCTTCCTGTGGAGGTTAGTCATGTTTTATCAGTATGTGGTGTCTCTTCTTTAAAAGTCCCGCCCCCCCTCCTGCTGATGTTCAGTGAATATATATGTCATTTATGTAGTGTCTCTACTTTAAAGGAGTCCCTTCTGCTTATGTTCAAAGTGTATATTAGTATGTAGGTCTTACTTGAGATGCTTCCGTTCTCCTGCTGATGTTTATGGTTATAATCAGTGTAGTGTTTACTTTAAGAGTCCCTCTCTGCTGGTGTTCAGAGGATATCAGTAGTGTAGTGTTTCTACTTAAGAGTCTCTACTGCTGATTTTCGGGCTGTATTTTTCAGTCTACTGTAGTGTCTTTCTTTAAAGAGTCC